GCGATCTGAGTGGAAAATGGTTTTAAACCTCAGATGGGATGCAGTTCCTGGTATGTTGAGTCAGCCCTCTGACCCCTGCTGCCAGGATTAGTCACTGTTGGAAATTCCTCTCCTGCCCAAGCATTCTTTCCTGTGTGTCCCTCCATCTTATTTTAGTTGTCCCTCACTTCTGTGAAACGCTATGAAAGGGTCAGATTTCTCCACTTTTATGCTTGCCATTTCTAATCCTCCATGGCTCGGTCTTGGCTCAGGATAACAATGCAGGGCTCTGAGCACAACACTGCGCCACAGTCATTGCCAAATAATGCCAGGTGTTTTTTATTGAGACTTTCCACAGGTGCAAATAGTATTTATTTTCTTCCAGAGTTTTTATTAAATGCTTAAAATCTACATACATGCAGGAGAACCAAAGGATGTACATTTTAATGTGAGACGGCAGTTTTAGACAATATACTTGGGGTTGCTGCTGCCTGCACTTACAATTTTATATAACTAATTATGATGTTAGACTCAACAGCTTCAAGAACATGCATTTAAAATGTGCTTGCCAGTTCAAATCAAAAGAACATAAAGATAACTCAAGTCTATTTTACGCATGAAAAGTGCTATATAGTGATATGGCCTTTGCCTCAAAGGAGATAACTCATCCTTGATATTTCATGAAAAGCGTTGGGATTTATCTTAAATCAAATAGAACGGTTTCGATGGAAAAGAAAACTTGTCCCCATTAGGGAATCAATGTTTGACTTTTTTGTGAAATATTACTGGTAGGAAACACTTTAATATGTATGTAAATTCTTCCACAGAGAAAGCAAGAGTCAAGTTTCCTGGTGCAGCTCAAAGTAAAAAAAATGATGATTGACAACCCTAAACTTTAATGGCAGCTCAATGTCAGCTGCTCCATTCAGCGGCACTTAAAATGTAATAAGATATTTATAGGCCAATTATACCTTCTCTCAACCACCCACATGTATGAACACACGCTCTTGTGCACACTCACACAACAGCTCAGAAGCCATGAGTGCAGACAGATTGACGCACTTTAACGGTGAAGTATTACTTGCTGTGAGACAACTATCATTATGTTCTCAAAGTAGAACTGAGAAATCTTTGGGCCAAATAATGAAATTAATGAACTCGAACTTTGTGCAAGCATGTTCTGTAATATTCGTCTCAACTGAAGCACACAGAGGCAATCAGAGTCCATTCACATCGCCATGAGACAAGAAGGTAAATTGGTCTAGACACTGAAATCACACAGCAATAAGATATATAAAGTGAGCTCCTCCATGTCCCTGATAGTGTTGTTTGGGAGCCGAGCGCATTTACAATTAGGAACATCTTAGATAGAAACATTATAAACTAACTTAGAGAAATAAGCGCATTTGCTGAAAGCCATCCTACAATAATAAATAGAGTTGAAACACAAAGAGAACATTAAGTGTAGATCCTACAGGGCCACCGCCGAGTGTCCATCACATTGATTGAAGTACTTTATTATGGTCTTGAACGGCGTAACATATAGGCACACTCAAACTGCAGTAAGGAAAACTATTTTTGAAATGATGTACTTTTTAAAAATGAAAACATCATCTTATCAAACACAGGCCAAGAAAAAAAGCCTAACCTTTTTGAAATGGGTTGATTAAGATATATTGGGGTGTAATTTAACCTATCTATGATGCAACTCAGTTAAACCACTTATTAACCCTTATACTAACCTCAACAACAACATTTAAATATGAACAGTACAATAGAGGGAGAAAAAGGGAGACAGGGTGACTTTGAAAACAGAATATATGCGGAAGGATCCTTCGGCAAACAGAGGGAGAAATACAGATGACCCATGAAGAGACATAGAGGCAGGCAGAACAGTCAATGAGGACGTGGAATAACTAATAGAAATAGTAGGTGAATGTTGGCAACAGTTCAAGCATGCCGCAAAATTAGAAATGTTATGTCCTCTCTATCCAGCCTTCCCCTCTTTCTCCCTCTCTTTTGTCTCCTGAGAGTTTCTCTTTGTGGAGAAATCCAGTCATTTTCGCCTCTCTCTTGTTGTCTAGGTGGATGTTGCTAACACTGCAGACCTGCCAGTCATTCATCTCTAGGGGAGGCGGGCTCTTTGCCTCAGTTGGGGAGGAAGTGACTGAGCAGAAAAGTTGATTGGCAGAATGGAGAGGGAGAGGAGACAGTGGGGAGAAAGCTTAGAAAGTGGAGCAGATGAGCACAGAGGAGAGAAATATATGGAGCGTAAACAGTCTCTTTAGGAGACACAAACAAAGGTGGCCAGCATGAGAGAGAGAGAGACTGTACATGCACTGATGCTTTCTTACATATGAAGAGAAAAGAAAAAAGGACATGACTTTATCGAAGCAGGGCAACACCTTAATATAGAGATTAGTGTGGACAACTGGATATATTCTTGTTAGTATTGTTTTCCTGATGTAAAACTTGATTTATATTACTGCTGGTTTGTTTTAGGAGAACAACAACAACCCCCAAATGAAGGTAGAACAAATGGGATTGAAAAGAATACCTGCTTGGAGGTGGATATGTAGAAGGAATTAAGTTACAGCTAGTAGGAAAAGCAGTGAGAGTTGGCTTGAGTGTGTAGTCTGGAGGAGGATGGTCATTTGTATTACATAACGCATACTTAACACTCTGAATTTAGGAGAACATGTCAAATGCGTAGGCTCAGGCTCCATCAGAAATTGGCATCATAAAATAACGTCTGGTACCTGAACACAGCCATGTTTCTTAAATTACTTTGGAATTCATTTGATCAGGATTTCTTCCCAAATCTAGAAGATAGTTTATTCTTTAACGTTTATTGTTCTGGTTAAAACCAATAGGTTGGTGTTAAACATCCAGGATGTCGGCGTTGCAAAAGGTAAATGTATGACCTTCTGGTTGTAAGGGCCTCTCTACCCACTACATGAATGGATGATGATTCATTGCGAGCCAATATCTTCAGTAAAGGACTCTAATATGGAAGTCAAAGATTGTTGTCATGAGGGCCGGTCTTGAAACTTCAATAAAACACATTTGGCTTATCTAAGTCTCATATCATTTGGGTGGCAAATTAAGCAATAAGTGGAATGATGTGATCAAGGAGCCAGCCAAATGTCAGGACATCATGTAGATCATTTGAGGAAGCTGGGTTGGAGGAGTTCTCCAATGCCTTGGCAGTGATTAGGGTGCTGATGTGTGTAGAGAGGTGGATCAGCTGTTCAGTTGGTATTACAAGGCAGGTGTTGCCGGGATAGCAGGTTGTACAGATGGGGAGGACTGTGTATAATGATACTTTGCAATAAGGCTGATTGAAGTTATTGCCAAACGTCTGATTTTCCCTGGTAATGTTTGTGTCCCAATGAGACTGGAAAGGGTTGTTCGGTAGTAAGAGTGGAGGTGGAGGGAAGTGAAAGGCATTGTGTGGGAGCAGTGAAGCCCACGAAGCCACAGGCAGAGATGGAAGGTGAGGCCAGAAGTGGTTAAAAAGGCATACGGTGTAAATATACACGTTACTTTCAAAGAGCCCTGCGATCGAGAGTTGAGGCAGGTGGAGTCCTGGCAGGAATCCAACATGTGTTGTAGAGATGCCAAAACAGCCTCCGGGGAGAGGTGTGATGTTCGCTATATTTATTTGTTCTTGTTTGATCATTTTTTGTTTGATTATCATTCTTTTGTCTAAAGCCTTTTTCAGTAAAAAAAAAATAATTCTATGAATAAAAACTCGATAAAGGTTTCAATGTAAAGTTACTATAGAGTGGTGCAGTGATGACGTATTTTTGTAGGACGACCCGGAAGTAAGCTGCGCAAGGGTTCCCTCGACAAAAAAGCAATGGGATTTCTCCATAGGATTTTGGAATATTGTAAAAAATTAGTTCGATAAATGCACATTTTGTTCAGCTGGTTAATCTCCACATGTCTACCCTACTCTTAACATTTTCGAATCATAAATCTAATCGCCAGGATCAAAATGCTAACGTTATGCTATTAACGAACTACAGCCGAATACAGCAGGGTCGCACGACTTCAACGTCACGCCAACTTAAGATCGATATTCAAAAATATAGATGCAAAATTGTACAAGTTGAAGCGTTTGTTTTAACAGTTTGCAAGAGCGCAGGTACTTGCTTTCAAGCAGAACAGGGGCAAACAAACTTAATCAAATCAAGTTTTATTCATATAGCACATTTATAACGATTTTTGGTCGAGCCAAAGTGCTGGACACATAATAAAAATAGCCTACAGTAGAGACACTTTACAGCAAATACAACAGCACAGATTGTTCAGAATATCAGTATGAGAAAAACGACACCCTCTATCCTTAGACCCTCTGTCCTTAGACCCTCACATCGTACAAGGAAAAACTTCCAGAGAAAACCCCACAGTTTAAAGGGGAACATGGGAGAAACCTCAGGGAGAGCAACAGAGGAGGGATCCCTCTCCCAGGACGGACATACGTGCAATAGATGCCGTGTGTAAATCGAAGAGGTAATACATTTGACAGCATATAGACCGAATGTTAGGAAATGCATGTGTCTGTAACTTAGCGTGAGTGTTTACGTGTTCGGCATAATGACGTACAACGTCCTCGACAACTTCTGTAGTCCTATTCAGCCACATCGTTTTTCAGACACGTAAACTCTTCAGAAATCACCAGTGGGGTCACTGCTGATGTATTTAATTTCGTGGAACAAATCGTGATTCGTCTCTTAAATTTGTGTCGACTACGGACGTTATTTCGAGCTATTTTCCATATTTCTATTTTTCTGAGATGAGGGAACCAGAAATGGTCAAATGCTAACTCACTTCCGGGTTTTAGGACTCGTTCCTGCACCACTCTATTTAGGCGCATGCGTTTCAATGCATAATATGCCTTTCTCTATGTGGATAGAAGATCCTGTTGGAGTCTGGTTTGTAAAGCAGGTGTGTGGCCCTCACTTCTTGCAAGATGAATGTGCTGCATGTGTGACAGTATGCTACTTTCTCCAAAGGTGCCAAAGAGGTGAATGCAAGTGGGAAGACCTTTACAGTCCGGAGCTCTCTGCAGCTGCATGTGGACAGAAATGATGATGGAGTGGCATACACCTGCAAAGTGGACCATGTGGCACTCGCACAGATGCCACAGCAGGCCACTGAAGTACTGGAGGTCCATTGTGAGTGTACACACTAACACATGCACACACTCAAACACACACATTGTAGACATGGAAGCAGAAAAGAAAAATTGCAGGTAGCTAAATTAGTGAAAATGAGTATACAGCTGCAGAATCCTGAAAATGATCAACCATAAAAAGCTTTTCGTACAATGATGGGATCTCAACAGTCTTCTTACAGTTACACATCATGAATCTACTTGTCATGTTTTATTTTAATCAGGGGGTCATCCTATATAATGATATTTTCAAAACGATAGAGTTTAAGGAATAAGCAATAGGATGAACCTACTGTATTTTTGGTCAAATAATCATAGAATATTCATCTTAAAAGGGCCTTTATATGCCAATGTAGAGAGACCTATCACACGACAGGAAAAAGCTTTATCGAGCACCTTTAATAAAAATGTATTACTGATCCTAAATTCTTCTTCCCTGTCCTAGATGCTCCTCATGTGAAGATCATCAACTCCCTTGTAGTCCCTCAGGAGGGTCAGTACTTAAAGCTGGAGTGTATGTCCAAAGGAAACCCTTCGTAAGTCTCTCAAATTCTGTGTTAGTTGATGTCAGCTTTTTATGCTTCAGACAGGATCATAAATCATGCCTTGTTTCTCTTTCACATCCCCTCACCTTCCAGGCCAGATCCTGTGATGTGGACAAAGGATGGGGGTGAACTTCCTGACCTGGACCGGATGATTGTAGAGGGGAGGGAGCTCACCTTTACTTCGCTCAACAAGACAGACAATGGCACTTACCGCTGCGAAGCTAGCAACCACCTAGGGACCAGCAGCGCTGAATATGTACTCTACGTCTATGGTGAGTTCAAACGAAAGGCTAATGTGTGGGTAATGTGTTCCATGTGATCACATCTAAAGATAAAGGAACAAAGACAAATCTTGAGTGTCTTAACTATCACAGGTACGAGAACCACTGCGAAATGCTAAGATTTTAATACATCCTGATCCGCATTCTGTATTAGTGCTAAGAGTGATTAGTGGTGCCATCTCTCACGGGAGAATAAGCGCCTCAGGTGACACAAATGCCACCGACGCCTTTCTTTAAATAAACCTGCGTCCCATATACTACACACACACAAACACATACACTCTCACACACATACCAGGAGGGAAATGTCTGAGGGAGGCAGAATTTACTGCTGTGTTGTCAGGAATATCACCGGGAAGGATAAGTAATTCCAAGTAGAGCCAGAGGAGGTGGGGAAAAGGGAATCAGTGTGAGGGAAAATAGATAGCTCTTCCTCGCTGCTTTTTTTCTCCACTTCCATTTGTCTCTTAGCATTAAGTAATAATGCTGAAAAAAGGAGCCGAGCCGTGACACATATCTTATCATCCTGTTTTAGAAATGTAGGTAGTGAGCGATTAGAGAAAAAAGGAATGTAGGTATGGCCAGAGAGACATACTACTGGAGGCAAAAGAGAATTTCCCTAAGTGGATCAATAAAATATTACATTATAATCATTACATGCACTAGAGGGGTGACTCATTTGCTCTTTTATTCAAAAGTAGATCTTAGCTAATGAACATGAGAGAAAAAACCATAGCCGGTAGCTATGCTTTGCCGGAGCTAGAAGTAATTTCTCTATGTTCTTGAGTGTCCTTTGTAGATTTATAGTAAAACCCTGACGGAGGAAGATGAAGCTAAGGTTACCATCAATAGTTCATGAACTGCTTTCTAATGGCCGTAGCCAAGGCCAAAGCAACATGGGGAAACCTCTGAATGTTGACATTTAAATGACGCAAATGCTTTTGGTGAATTCTGAATAAAGACATTTGTGATAGGAAAGCGTTTGCTGTTCCATAACTAAGATAATTACTTGAATAATGTAATGTTACATGTGCTGCATTTACATGTAAAGCAAATAACCAGGTTAACACTGAATATAGTTGTATACCATCTTATATTTGTGATATGTTTCCTTCAAATTCAAATCTTGTGTGAAGGCTGTGAAATCCCATACAGGTAAGGCTGTCCCTCGCCCAAACACGCTTTATCTAAGTGACTAGTTAAGGGGGTTTAATGAATATCCTGGGCGGTGGTGGCGAAGTCAATAGGGACTTGGTCACCAGTTCAAGTCCCGGCAAGACCAAGTGCTACCGAGGTGTCCCTGAGCAAGGCACCGTTCCATACACTGCTCCCCGGGCGCCGTTCAAAATGGCAGCACACTGCTCCTAACACTAGGATGGGTCAAATGCAGAGAAACAATTTCCCCACGGGGATTAATAAAGTATATCAATATCAATATCCCCCATGCCATGGTGTCTGTGTGCACCTAACAATTCCTTCAAATGCCAGCTGAATGTAACAACAAGAATAACCAGTGCCCCTAATTACAGTGATGTTATTAAACTGACACCAAAAAGTACACCAAAAAAAAGGCAATTTGGTATTGGAGGGTCAAGGAGTCTTATTCATTACCTGTTCTTTTTTTAAATGGCACCCTTCATTAGTGATTAGCAGACCTTTTAGCCTTTTGCAATTGCAGTCATAATTCTTTGAAAATACCTTTTTAATGGTCCCCTCCAACGAGGAGATGTTCTCTCTCTACCCTCTTTCCTGAAGACGTGCACTTTGCTGCTTAGTGATTCACACCCAGGCTGAAATGTCAACGAGACACGCAGGAGAGTTGGCCCTGAGAATGAGTACCACAGCCAATTAAAAGCCTCAAGCTCACTATAAAAAGCAGAATGACACAAACATAAAAGCCAAGGTGGTAGTGTAACCTCATTAACTTTGTCACACAGTGGTTCATTCCCATTATTCCTGTTGCTCTAACTTGTGACAGTGAGAAACCCTGCCTTGTGTGAAACAATGTTACCATTGCTCTGTAGTGAGAAGTTAAAAAAGAGCATGGTAATGACAGCTTGGCTAACTTCTCCTGAAATCCTTCTTGCATACATTGATAATTGGCACTGATCATTCTGTCAAAGCACTGTCTTCATTTGGTGTAGAGTGCAGATTGCATACTTACAGAGTAGAACCGCAGTTACTCATATTCACATGCTACAGAAATCATTCTTACATTCAAAGGCAGAACTTTTTAAATCATAATGACGAGGAAGGGTTTGAGTCTCTAACATAATGTGAAGAAGTCAACTTGTTACTTCTGTTACACGTGCATACCGCATCACTCAGACTTTGCACTTTGCCTGAGACATACCCACAGGCTACTCCCACCTAAAAGTTCTGAATATAGACTAAATATTCTCTGGCTTTTACTTTGATTCAGTATATGCTAAGGAGCAAAAAAGTAAGTCTAAACAATTCAGCCTTTTATCCAAGTCGTTATTGTTTCTCAAATATGACTCATGTTAACATTGACCCTAAAAACACCATTAAAATGCAATCAATGAGAAATTGAATGAATGTATGTCTTGTAGTGCATCAGGTTGCATCAACAGTATCTCATTATTGCATTTCTGAAAGTGTGTTTTCAACAACTTTATGTTAAGGACTTGTTGCCGTTTTTTGTTCCCCGTCACTGTAAAATGTTTTGATCATTTTTTGTTGTTTTTATTTTTTAAACTAACTGCCCCCATATGAATTCATTTTTGTTGTTGTTGTATTATTTTTGTGTATATGTGTCTGTCTGTCCCCTCCACCAGACGTCCCCACAACCCTGCCTCCATCCACCACTCTCCCCCTACATCCCATCCCTCCAGATCCTACCGCTCAATTAGGCACCCACGACCCCACAGTCACTGGCAACAGAGGTACAGTACCCCCCCCACACATCTCCACAGCCCCCTTAGCATGCTACTATATATATTCACACTTCCCTCTTACTCTCATGTCTCCTCTGTCCTATAACTTCTGTCTCCACTGCCTCAAACTCAGTGTTCCTGCCACATGTGGACACACTGAGAACTGAAGTATATCTGATGGTAAAAGAAAATCTTTCCTTTCTAGCTTTGTTAAATTGTTCCCCTTTCTCACACAACTGTTTTTGTGACAACATACAAATACAAAAAGTGCCCTGTTACAGTATGTGTTTTACATTAAGGACATTATTCAGAGTTCCTGAGTCCCTTTCTGTTCAAATAGTGTCAATCATCTCAAATACTCAATTCACTGTCCCTTTGGCATTTCAAAGACTTCAGCACTTCTGTGCCCTGAAACCTCAAAGAAGCAAATGTCATGTCCAACTAGAAATGTCCGTCCACTGGAGATGTCTCATCATGACTCCTTATGCTGTGTTCGAGCTTTGAGACTTGAAAGGCTATTTCTCTGAGTTAACTCTGTAGCCACCAAACGGACATCTTACTGCTGTTTGGTGTTCTTAGAGAATCTTTTCCTGAAGGGTTTGAATGCTGTTTTATATAAATATTAAAGCATTTTAATTAAAAAATATGAATAAATGGATGGGGATAAATGGCTGAAACAGAAATGCTGGGAAGGCATAAAATACTGAGGTTTTCTCACATTTCAAGCTCTTCTCCTTCTAATGACATGGCTGATGGCATGCAGAGAGGTATGGTTATGGATTCAAATTTTAAAGTGTGCAGTATGAATAAAATCATCTTCATCCTGCTGAATTAATACCATTCACAGAAAGCTTTCCCTTTTGCACACCAAAACCCCCATGCTATTGTTAATATCTCTCCAAATTGTAAAAAGATAACTTAGCACACAAACCCCATAATATGAGCCCACAAGGTCAAGTGTGGTGGGCTGGTTTGCTGCCAATCAGGTGAAGGTATTGGTATGTTGATGTCAATTTTGTGCAGAGGAATACGCTCAGGCTATTGTAGGACATTGGGAGATACCAGTTACCAGCATATGGTTTATTTCTGGATAAATACTTGCTTCATCTTGGGCGAGGTTGGGGATATTGTATGATAGCGGTTCATTGTGTTTTCCACCCTCCAAGTTGTAGCCGGAAGGTCACTGCTGCTTGACATGGCAGCAACCCAAGAACCGTTGACCGCCTTCAGAGCGATGATCTCTACAGGGGAGAGTTCCTGCTGACCTGGTCGTTAAAGGGAACAATTTGAGGAATTTGAGAATGCTGCCAACACAGTGGAGGCAGATTTGGAGGACTTCGGGGAAGCCCTGCCCTTCCTTCTGGTACAGGTCACTGAGTTGGTCAAAAGCCCTGAAGTAATAATGTGCCAGATGGATAAAATTTCCCCTGAGGTGGTGAAATTTCAGAATTTTGTTTTTGTGTCTTGGTTGACATGCCTTCTCAATATTGCATGGTTGGGGACAGCTTCACTGACCTAACAGATGGAGATGGAGGGTAGTGGTATCCTCCATTTTTAGATATAAGACTGGATGTTTTCTCCAAGTGTGTTTGTGCCAGTGTCCTGGTAAGAAGACTCTGGACGAAGATTAAGAAAGTACAATGTAGATTTTGTTGTGGCTGTTGACCATTGAACCAGCTCTCTGCCCTTGCCTAGATACTGTAATGACAGTGTTTCCTTTGGGTTATTATGGAATGGCACTACAGGAATATATAAGTGCTTGGGCCATTATGAGCAAAACAGGCTAGTATTATCAAAGTAGCATCTGTTCCCAATGCTGATAATGTAGTTTATGCTGCTTTTGATGTATCTGAGTTTGCATTAAAAGGAGCCAGATGATTTTATTTAAACACAATGAAGTATCCCCTTATTGAATTGTTCCTAAATGTCCAATTGAAGTGGCTCCGAGTCTCAAGGAGCCAGTTGGTTTCAGCACCTGACCTAGTTACCTACTGGAAGCCTCTGTATGGAGGTTCTCCAGCCAGCTAGGAGGAGACCATGTGGCGGGTGCTGGAGGGATTTCATATCCCACCTGGTTTTTGAGGGTCTCAGGATCCTTCAGGAGGAACTGGAAGACATGGCTGGGGGAAATGATATGTTGGTGTCAATGTGATCTGGATAAGGGGCAATAGATAGAGAAATTGAATGGATATCCAAAACCTCTGGGAGAATATAAGTTGCTGTAGCCTTTTAATCTATATCTCCTAAGGCGACCTGTATAATAAAAACGTTTATTCATGTTGAATAAACGGATTATGTTACTTTACATGAATTGTAATATGTATCTTTATAATCCAAAAGCAACAACGTTAGACAGAGTTTGTTTGGCTTTATTTTTCATAGCAGCTGGAAATGGTGATGACTATTTTAAAAGCCCTCTTTTGACCGAGTGAAACATTTGATCACACAAAGGTTATACAGTTTGACAAAGGAGAAAGAAAAGGTTAAAACATGTTTGGTTGTATAGCAGTTTGTCTAGTGATTCTGTCCTGTCACATGCTCCGACTCAACCACAATAACGCTGACATGGCGCCATGTCTGCTATAGTAGAGTGATATGTCAATCAAAGTTTTTCAGTGACTTGTCAATTTAAAACGAATGTGCTGTGATAGGCTGCATGCCAAAAAGCTTGCTCGTCATAGAGCATCATAACCATACTTTCTAAACGTGTCAAGGTGATGTGTAAACTGACCATTTCTAGAACATTAAGCAAATCAAATATTTGTTTTCCTCTTTGATAAAATATTCAAAACTGTATATTATCTTTCCCAAAATAAGTATTGAACACACTTAGAATGAAATTGGAGCGTTGGGTAGTTGAGCGTCCTTGGTCTGACCTCTCTCTTTCTCTCTACCCAATGTCTACATAGTGCTCCGTCAAATAAATATATTAATATATGAGTATATGAGAATATGAGTATTAAAATACATTAATATAAAAAACTACACACTGATCTTTTTTCTTTGTCCTAAATTTGTCTGCACTTTTTTCTGCAGTTCTGTAAGGCAGCTTCATTCCTTTTCATTTATATGTCCGTTTTCCATAATTTACCTTTTCTCTGCTTTTTCGGCTCTCTCTCTACATGGTGCTTCACAGTCACATTCACTCCGAATAATTTCCACTCTTCACCGTTGCTTTCTCTAAATTACCATCTTCAAAGTCCTTCAGGAGTCTCGCCTCCCCCTCTACCTTTTCCTCCGCTGCTTTGCTTTCTACCCAAGCTTCTGTTTTGCTCTTCTCTCACTCACTTTTCCTTTCTACCCTCACATCTCTCTGAAGACCCTTTGAGATAACACGCTTCCACATGTTGTTGGATATTCCTCATCAGCATGTCTCAATTCTTGTCTGATGTCTGTTTGTGTAGTGCAGAGACACAAGAGAAGCTTAGCCTCTTAGTGTATCTTCAGGGAATCTAAATATCAGACTCCTTCACTGCGTCCCTAGTCACAGGATACTACACTATCTCCTTTCATGTGTCTACTTGATTTATTACCAGGTCTTTTTACAGGCTCTGGATGAAAGCAAACAACTGTGGAGCTGTACCAGCACCATGACGTTTTGTCTTTTTAATAAAGTTGTCTTGTGCAGTTCAAATACACAGTAGGATCAGCGCTACTGTCTGTATTCAGAGTATTAGCATATCATATGACTGATGAGCTCCTTCGTACCAGTCGTGCATCTTTTAGCAACGACGTGGTGCTTTCCAAACAGAAACCGTTTTTTGAGATAAGAAAAAAACCGACAGCTTTTCTCAACCCCCTTAGACCTAGCATCCTAAATGAACCCTAAGTTACAAATCATATAAGATATTAAAATCCTTATGAATATGTATTCGCCGTCATTATACAACATGTTATTTGTATCTGCAGGCTCTTTAATCCAAAGCAATTTACATACACTTACGTATACATGCCTAGGTAGTCATTTTGTGGTAAAGTATCTTGCCCAAGGCGTAGTTTTATTTAAGAATATATATATACTGTATATAAACATATCTTGTTCTTGTAAGAAAGGGTAGTCTCCAAGACCTTTAGTGTTAATACATGATTTGTAAATTAGGTCCTAGAGAGAGGTCTTTTTGTCTTATTAAGCCCTGTTAGCTACCATGGCAACCACAGGCCAATGGGAAAGCACGGTGAGGCTGCTGGACTCCGACCGGATGCTGAACTATCATTAGGCCTGGGGGCAATGTTGTATTCTAACAAATTGGAGGTTATATTAAACTGATCCAAACCAACATTAATATTCATTGTAATGAATGATTCACATGTTTGCTCATAAATTACCCTTTTGGAACTTTTATGCCAGGAAAAATATGAATGATTGAGGCCAAGATGCAATAGGTGTTAGTCTTGTGCTTTTTCACAGATGTGCCAAAAATAGCCTTCATTTCACTCTTATAATAACCCTTATAACTTCCAGCACACAGGTGAGAAACAAGCTGTATTTAAATAAGTGAGAATGACTTTTTTCTCTCTCTACATAATCATTTGTTCACAATAGGATCTCATGTTCTGTATTAAGAAAACGGTGTTTGCGAGATAGAAAATGTGAGGTTCTCTCAATATGATTTTACAAAAACAGACGTTTTATTTTCGCTGACTTAGTGACAGTAAGAATAAGTGCCAAATACATTAATCCGCTGTTTAATGGAGGCCTTAAGTCATCCTTGAAGGAATATTAGTGAATAAATATTTCATACTGGCGACTCAGCGGTTCTATTGAGGAATGTACATTTGACAGTAACCCATGCCTTTAATACTTGCTGTAGTGTAAAGGTATGCACAATATTCCTCTGGTTTTCATCCTGACTCTACATTATGGAAGATGCATACCTGCAGTCTGTGATTCACGTTATTAATGAAGTGCTGGCAGGTATGCCCAACACCCACATTGCTTCAATGGCCCAGCTAACCTTAATGGCTATAATAACTCTTTCACTAAGTATCAGAGGTCTATGCAATGTCAT